TGATCTTATTTTTTGAACTTGGACTCAGCATCTATCGTCTGTTGTATTAGTGGGTGAGAAGCAGAGCGTGAAAGAAGAGAGAGGAATTATTTCCGAACGGGTTGAAGAGAAATGAACAGGCAGATTATACGAAAAGTTCTAGCAACGACAGGCGGTAAAAGATTAGATTTTTGTGTAATTCTGCATTCTTTAGTTTTGGGGTTCTGTACCTTTCTCGGGGACAGAAGGAATCTGTGAAATGTACAACAGTTCGGTAGTCTCATTACTGACACCAGCGGAACAAAATTTTATCGACAGTAGGTTGCACTCTCACATTGCATTGAGTGCAAGAAGAATGGGTTTTTTTTTGCATGGAAATTGTCTTTCAAAAGAAGAAAATTGTAAAAAACTTGCATTTTTCTCTTCACGACTATGACTTTCTGGATTAACAGAACGGAAAGCTGTTAAAAAAGCAAGTTTTAAAGAGAAGTACGTCAGCTCGAGAAGTTCGTATTGGCTTGGATTAAAGAAAGTTTCGCTTTTATGAGGGTGGATGGACGGCAACCTCCTTGTTTATCAAAACTTCAGAAATAACCTTTCAACCCTAGTGGAAGAATCTGTGGTAGTTAACCTAACCGACTCTTATTGGGATATTGTAGATGATGATTTGGCCGGAAACAGTTTAATCTGTAAGAGAAGAATTTTAGGTAAATTCATTTCAATTACTGCTTTACAATTTCTAGCTTTTTCACGAGCAGGTAGTCTGAAGAAAGGCTGATTGAATAAACTTCATTTTTTTCATAATAAAGCAATGGCGATATTTTCAGTTTTTACGTTTGCTTTTTCTTCATTTTGTTTATGTTGTATGCAGAAAGAGATCAGATGAATTAACAATAACTGAAATTTATATATGCAGCTTAAACAAAGTCATGAAGAATCTACACGTGTTTTGTGGAATTATTTATGGTTGTTTGATAAAAACGATCGACGTTAAGAACTGTCGATGGAAAGCTTGGTTTCGTTTCTTTCTATTGTTTACTGCAAGAGTATATTTCTCATTCTTCACCTATACTTTTTTTGTTGCTTTTCGACGTTCCATATTGGTGCCATCTGTGCAAAGGCTTGTCAATGAATTACCAGTTGTTTTGCCATGTTATGCAGAGCTGTTTCGAGATAAAACAGATTTTAGATCTGTGTTACGTGAACTCTTTGTATGCTTCTCATAAATGATTAAGGAATGTGCAAAGCAGGGGACAAAAGTTATTTTTTTCTTGAAGAACAAGGCGGATTGTGACTCGCGTTTGTCATAGATAAAAGAAATAAAAAGTGCATAAAATAGAATTTGAAATTTATTGCATTATATATATATCTTCTCTGTGTATATATTTAGCCCCTTTTCTAGTTTGGTGCTTCTGTCACGTAAATTAAATGTGAAAAGTACAAACAATTAGTAGGCTGCATTTCTGATACATTATATGAAT